ACATGCACACTTACACTTCCTGTATGAAAGAATCAAACAAAACGCCTCACCGTCTCCGTCCTAAACGCCGGCGACCCGTCAGCTCGGTGCCTCGACCCGTCAGCTGCGGTCGCCCGACCCGGCCTTGGCTGACGACCAGGCGGTGTTCACTGACAGATTTTGATATGTTATTTTGGTCCCAACCAAAACATTGGGAGATTCACACTCTATATTATAGAAATAACATGAAATAACTTCCTAGAAACCCAGTCCCAACCAAAAAACACAAGGGTTGTTTCAAAATGGCCATTGAGATTCTTGACATAACAAGGAGTTTTGAGTGGGATAACACCCATAATTCTCGTGTTGGTCCTGGGCTTCTCACAATCCATCGCCCTGAAATGGGGGATTGACCATCGACCACTGTCCGCTCATTGGGAGTCCGGGCAGTGCCGAGATGGCTTCTGTAGCTCAAAACAAGAAGACCTCCAAGGCAACGACCCCCTCAGAGAAGACAAATAGACTTAAATAGACCAATCTACCCAGCCAGGGCCAGGGTGTCTCCTCAAATTCACACCCATGTCTTTGCTGTCATGCGTTTCGCCCGCTTCCCATTGCCCATTCGGACTAGGTGTGGCACGGGAGGGTGCGTCGCATCAAAGAGCATCGGCAGTCGAATCGGTGATAACAATGTTTGAACAATTGTTGGCTAAATGGCCGAGTGCCAAGAGCTCAAGGTACACACAGCTTAGGCCAAAGGTAGTCCGACAATGACTTTGCCCAGTGGTATGGGGCAAAAGGACTCTGTTTCCCCACAACGGAACAAAAACAAACAGTTCGCGCGAAGGAAACATGTTCTTTTCTTGTTTTTACCTAACATATATATATATAACTTATGATTTTCACTAAGCTGGTCAACTGCTTTGTGCCACGTGACGTTCTTTTACTCTCATCGCTTGGACCTTCTTCTCACTTTCGTCGTGCTCATGGACGCCAGCCCAGAGCCGTTGAGCCATTGGCCACATGGCACGGGAGACTGAACTCCCGTGGTTCCGCACAGCCGTTCTGTATTGAATCCAACGGTTGGGCAAACACTGAAATTGTACGAACCACCTGGATCAGAACTGGTCTGCGATGATATACGTAAACTTGATGACACATGTAAGTACCCGCATTCAGAAACACTTCGAACATCCTGTTCATACCGTGAGGCCCTGTCAAGCCCACCACTCTACATCCTCAGAAGGTAGAAATGGACGGTCCAAAGCCACAACCTTCTCAAAGGTACCGGCATTCTTGTGGGCACCAGGCTTCGACTACCATGTTCTGCACAAAACCGCAGCAGAATCTGAAAAGACTTGAATGATTTAATGAAAAGGAGTACCGTCGCGACTGAAAAACAGAGTTACCTCTGACATCTTCTGACATACCAAGTTGTCCACTCTGTAAAACACTGTCCACTCCGCCATCTCCCGAATGTATACACCCATTTTCTGCGGCTCTGCCGATTGGTGATTGGTCTGCTTAGGTGGGGATCATGTGCCACCGAGACTACCTGGCGCGTGGGCGCCGGAAGTTTTTGTCTGGTCGTCAACGGGGTCGGGGGTCGGGGTCAGTGTGACAGGCTTCAGAACTAATCTTAGTAGCGATGAGAGTCCCAATGAATTGTATATTGTGCGTATTACAGTAATTATATATATATATTATATATTTACATACTAATACTAGTGTACGAAAATGTACAAAAGGTAAAGTAAATCCTGCCCCACGCACTGCTTGTTGCTTGAGAACAGCAGCTTGCGGGCTACCGCGAGACGGCTTAACAAAACAGAACTGTTTGGCCCATTTCCGTTGTGGAATTTTCAGATGCCAGGTCTGTGGTTTTCAGGTCGTCCATGAGGTGGAAACTCCAGCGTCTGGCCAGTCTTTGTCGTCCAGTCTTCGTGTCGTCGTCCGACATGCCGTGACATCTTGATGATCTTGTCTGGGATGTGCTTCCAGAACCGGTAAGGTGATGCACCCACAAGATCCCGCAAGGGAAAACAATGATCCTTCCCAACTACTCCATGTATGGAATAGTCAACATGGATGGGTCATTTTAATGAGGTCAATGTCTGCAACTATTCCGTATCATATGGCGTTTCCGGGCTTTTTTGAGCCCGACCAGGTTCTGGGCCATGGGTGATCTGCGTCGTTGAGCTTCTTACTCATTCTGTTCGCGTCAAAAGGTGTGTGCAAACCGGGAACGACACCGGTATCCCAAAAGGGAACAGGTATAGCAGTACGTATTGCTTTTACCATATTCATCCATCTTCTAGCTATTTTTCAGAGTCCTGAGTTCTCCAGCTATACCTTTTCAGCTACACCCTGAGCTGGCCAAATGAAGCCCTAAGCTTAAACACCTGCTGGGTGGTCAGAACATCGTCTTCGACAAAGCCTCCCAAGTAAATACTTTGGAACATGGAATTGGAGACCAGAACCACATGTCCCCCTTGAGGGTCCGGGTCTCCAAAAACAGCTGCACACAGCACCACAGCGGGTCTCCTCAAGTTCCAGCAACCGCCGCCCCGCACGGGCGAGGGCTTTCCACTGCGGCCGCTTGGGAAAATGATAGTCCAGAAACTGGGAAACATCTTCTCCATGAAGGGGATTGACCCATAGGCCCATAGGGACAATAAACATCGCCACTAACATCACCCAATCCGCCCAAAAGACCCTTGCCGCCGTGCCACCAAACGTTCACCCCTCCGGTCCCTCCGACGCGCGAGCTGGCCCCACCTACTAGGCTTCGAGCTCAAGGAGGCCGCCTGGACGCTCCGATCCACGCTCCGATTGCTTCGATGCCACGGAGGTCCGAGGCACGAAGCGTCCTTCCCCCGGTACGGTCGCTTCCCGGCACGTGACCCGACCGTCTGACCTGTGTGTCGTCTGACCTGGTCCCGGTGCTGAACACCGAACATTGAGTACTTGAGAGGAGGGAGACACGAAAGGTAGGACAGCGGGAAGAGAAGAGAACGCGAGAGGCAGGAACAAAAATGCAATGTTCGACATGGTGATTTATCCCCTCGGAGGCGACCTGTCGTAAATATATGTTCATATATGCACTCTAAATGTTCAAACATATTCTCTCGAAATGTTCAAAAAGATTCTGAGGAAAACAAACTTGCCCCATGGCTGAAATCATCGGTGAGCATTGAATCGGAGCATCATAGGATTTGAACTATCCTGAAACCATAAGAGGCTCACGACTCACGAAGACGTTCCCCAGGAGAGAATTGACGTGCTTCACAATACAAACTCTAGGTATGTATCCCCTCGGGGAACACCTTTCGTGATTAGAATTTCATATGCATTCTTTCTGAATGTTCAAGAGGGTTTCAACTATCCTGAAATCATGAGAGGCTCACGAAGACCTTCTCCAGGAGAGAATTGAATTTAGGGGGGGGTTGAATTGAATGATCAATTATTAGACCCGGACGCGCCAACACTTGCTTCGCAAGACAAACTCAAGGTATCCCCTAAAGGGCTACCTTTCGTGATATTGATGTCGAAAAAGCAGACTTCGGTACCATGAATTCCCGTGGGGTGACCGCTGCGGATGTCCTGCGTGCCTCAGAATCTAAGTACCGCTTCATCATGAGCATGTAGGCTGCGCACCTTCCAACCAGTCTCGTGGAGCTTCAAAGAGTATTGGCCGCAAAATCAGGGCAAGTTATCATGCCCAAAAGCAGGTCTTGGTATGAAAGTACTTTCCAAGTGGGCTATATAAGCGACTAAACGGTAAATCCATGTGAAGCTCTTAGTCAAACTATAAAAAAAAACTACTATACATTATATAGCTATAGATAACTAGCAATAACTCTAGCTATAGATAGACACAGATAGACTATATCATTGTATCCTGAACTTCTTGTAGATAAGGTGGGACCTTCGAGCAAGAGCAAGCAGCTCAATATTCCCTAACAAATCGGGCTTTCACAATCGTTTCACCCCGGACTCTGAGCTGTATAGTGAGTCGTGGAAGAAACAGGAGTTTGAACACTGCGAACTTGTGCTCTGTCTCGGTCCTAAGGATGGTGCTGGAATGTGGACGTACCAGGCCAATGTGGATGAAAGGGTTTAACATGGTTAACGGCTTAACTGAACATCAATCAGTAGCTAAGAGGCCTAGCTTCTCAGCTGATCCTCCCGTGAATGAACACTTGCAATGAACTTATTCATCTCACAGCATTGGGATGTCACACCCCAAAACGATGTCCTACTTGGGCCGTTGATAGGAGATCCTACACTTTCGTTGCATCCTCGCCAACCATACATGGCACCAATGCTGCTGTCACGTGGAGATGCTGCTGTCAAATGGGGATGGTTTTCATGTCTTGTCTTTTGCCTGGTGTGTCCAAGTATTGATCACTGCCCATTTCCAAAAGAAGAACACATCCAAACAGCAGGTGCTGCTTTCACAATGTTGATGGATGGGTACACGGATTTGGCCAATGTCTTTTGATCTGTACTGGATCTGCTCATGCGAAAGCCATGAAGTACTCCCTTGACGTCCCGCCTGTACGCCACCAGACCAAAACCGGGAACCTTCAGAACCCGGCGCCACCGAGCCACCAACCCGCGTAGGCGAACCCAGTGGCGGTCGCTGCGAACGTAGCTCCGAGCTCATCTCCGGTCATTCATCGTCCGTAAGAACTGCGGCTGAGCCGCGTGTTGGCCAAGGGCCCCGCCTTGGTCCCAGGCCCCGGCCATGAGAGGAACTGGAGACCTATAGTGTCACCATGAGTCACCGGTTGGAGGCTGCTGGTAGATTCTTTGAAGTACTATTACTATTTTGCAGCACCCTGGTAGCGAAGTGCAGTTGGTTCTCAGTTTCCGCGCTGAAGGCCTCAGTGGTTGGATGATTCTCTTAAGAGTCGCCGAGTCGCCTGCCAACCGGAGGTGTTCAGCCCAAAAAAACACCCATGCATTGTTCATGATTAAACTCGAACTCAAGTACAAGACCAGTTCATCCCCAATGTTCATGATGCCTGAGCCGAGGCATGATAAACCACATTCCCACCTTCAACACCGGAGAGTAATCCCTTTTCAAATCTCCACCAGCCCCAGCTCCGCTCATCAAAATATAGCCTTACCAACAATATAATAGTTGAATAGTATGTACGTACGTATGTAAATATAAACATGTGCGATTGAACAACCAACAAAAACCATATATATATATTGTACACACCCCATGCCCAATCATCGGCTGTGCAACAACAAATAAAAAAATGCCCCCGAGCGGCAATGTTGAGTGAGCGGTTGTCCGGGTCATCAGGGATCTCACGGATGCCGATCTTGGTTCCCGTGAGCATCTGCACCTCCCCGCACCGTGCGCCCGCGGTTTGTAGGACCAGGACCGACCGGATGGACGACTGGGTGCAACCGGGACGACCGAGTGGCATCACGAACGTGAGCCTATGCTGAGGCGAGCGGTTTTCCCATTTCTGCGGCTGATTTGTGAGACCACCCACAAAAATGGTCCATGAACATCATGAACCATCAACCCTGCCACGAGGCTCTGGAAAGTGATCCAAGGGTCCCGAAGTCAAGCCAGTCACTGGGATCGTCCCTCAACCGACCTGGATGGGCTCTGAAAACCGCATCTGGTCAGCAATGCCCGACGTGAAGTTCCGACGGTGCCGCGTCGTTGTCGCCAAGTGGATCTCTTGGTATACGTTGGCAGCCATGGCCTTGTGGTTCAGTGTGCACTGTGCGCACAGGCCGGATGGGACCTATGTTCACCACCTCTTCGGATGAAGGGGATATGTGGGAATGAGTAGCCCTGCCTCAAAAGGATTACACTTTGGTAATCGATTCAGACTGTTAACAGTTTGACACACTCATCGACCCCAACTTACATCAACCTACTCAACCTCGCTGGTCGTTGTCCCAGCGCCCCAATTTCGGCACCGTGGTGTCACGGTGGCACCTCCTTGGTGCCAGCGCCGCCACGCCCAATGAGACCTCCGACCTCAGCTCTGTTGAGGCTGAGGGGGTCGGTAATTAGTGCTTGGTGAGGAGCGGAGCATGGTATCGCGAAAAAGAAACAAACAAAACACACACACGAATGCCATCCAACGCCAAGTTGTCAACTCTTACCACGATTTGCGAAAAATACACACATCTCTGAAGTGCCATGGGAGGCATCTGACCTGAACACATCGGCCGTCTCCGTGTCAAGATCGGCTCGTTTCTTGGACGAACAAACTGACTTGCTGAGTGGCTGTACTGAGAGCTATAAGTTGTACCAGTAACGCTTCAAAATGAGAGCAAACTGCCAAAACTGCTGCTTTTTTGAGTTAATTACCAAAAACACACACATGCTGAAGAAACTGCGCATATCATGTTTGGCACATGTGACTTGCCGGAATACTTGTGCTCTACTACACTATAGAGATCTATAGAGTATATATATTATATATAACTATACTGTCTATACTGGTCCAACAACAACTTGTTCTGGTCGCAGGGTGATTTCCACCAAGGTTCAAACCATCTGGAGCACGAAGCTTTTTCCGCCCAAAAAAGAAGATCCACGTGTCTTCCACAGCTTCGCCGGAAAGAACTGGGTTCCCAGGAAGTGGTGAGACGCAAGGAGTGAGCTGTGGAAGTGGTTCTGGCCACTTCACACCCAGGCCATGGCACCGAAGGTCTCCAACCGAGAAAAAACATCTCCAGGTCCGGGGATGCAGCTCCAGTTCGGGACGTTTTCAAAGCCAACTCATGACCTGCCAAACCCGGGATTTGAAGCACCTTCTCACGACCCGAACACTTCAACCCGATCTGTCAAGAACCTGTTTCACCTATTTGGAGCACCAAATGCTCAAACACTTGACCTCAGTCACACCAAAGCCTACGTAATTGGTGTCAAAGGGTGTATTCCCTGGCCCCGTGGGGTTGCTCTATTTCCATTCGTCCAGGGGTCTTTGGGAGGTCTGGCTATTTTTAATACGCATCCGAGATCATCCGAGTGGTTTCATGATTAATGCACAACATCAAGCAAAGTCTCAGCTTCCACCATCATCCGCATCTTACCACAGCTCAAGCGTGGTTGTGCTTTTGCGCACACGCGCTCGGCATGCACGAGCGTGAGTGGGCTTCAAACAAAGGGGTCGACAAGGCAGACGACGATTCTGAGAAGAAACCAACACAAGTCAAGGTTCAACATACCCATGTGACTAGTTAAGTTACTGTATGGGGCTGACATGGTGTAAGTGTAAGGAAACATGGCAATGTCCTTGAAACAGCCTCCAAAGGTCACAATCTACTCGGTGTCTGACACCACAGTCCGGAGCATAAGCGGCAGTTCTCCTCACATTTTTCGCTGGAGTTCCGCCTGTAGTCTCTGAAGAGACTTCATGTGGTGCAAAACACGCCGGAGTCATCTCCCCCCCCGAGTTTCTTCCGCACGGCGGGGTGATCGTCGCTTCTGACGAGCACCCCCAAAAGGACTGATGTGGGCGAATCCAAACAGCGTCCCTCAAGATGGAAGGATCTGATATCTGACACCCCTCCAAAGGATTCGGGTGGATTTTCCAACTATGAGGGTCCAGGGTCGCGTCTGGGTAGTACTTCCACTTCTCGAACTCTATAGACCATGCAGGGGTTGCAGCACGCTTGAAGGCACTTCAAGAAAAGCATGTGATCCACATCAATCCAGTCTCGCCTGCAACTTCTGGTATTTCAGGCGAATCTCATCCTCAGTCCTCAGTTCCAGGTGAATACCGAAGGTCCATCTACTATGCAGGCACACATGACATATTGACCTACTTTGGGGTGGATGACCCGGAGTCAATGTAGGTACTGTACATAGTGCAGTCCCATTATTCATGTTTGGGTGACGGGTTGCTTCTGCACCAGTTCATCCATCGAGGTCGCCCTGCCGTAAGGCCTTAACGACCGCAGTGTGGTTAAGAACCACACGCGAGTGGTTCTCCTGGGCATCCGGGAGACACTGCCTGAAATCGGCAATGGATGGGATGGCCCTTGGATGAGCCTGAAATCAGAATACCAAACAGGTGGTACCATCCATGATGATTTCAGGAGAATTTATATATATATATATATTAGATGTTTTGTTCTACACAATTACGAATACAATGGATTTTATCTTCTGAATCACGGTATCTCTCCTGGTGTGACAGATTCTGAAAAGATTTCGATTCAACGGCCTTCTCCGGCCTTTGAAAACGCCCTAGATATCCCCATCACGGTGAAGCTCAAAACCATACCTGGACCGTCCAAGGGGGGTACTGGACTGCACAAATTATGCACTTCAACAGGCTTCATTGGGCACTAAGATGGCACCTTTATTAATTGCTAGGACACGCCAGACCTAAAACAACAAACAACAAACACATCATGGCCGGGATGCTTGGACATGCCCCCCAAAAAGAAAAACCAACAATTCCTGGCCGGTATACTACGGTTCAACAGTAGGACATGTCAAGATGTTTTATGTGTGTTGTGCGTGTTTTGTGTTCATAATGTTTCATATATATATATATTTTGCAATATATATTTTGTCCAGTCCTGGTATACTACACCATCTTAGTTTCTTCTCTTTTCTGTTCCAATTCGAGCGGTCCAATGTTCGGCCGGAATTCGCGCGTCTGACGGATGGAACACCCAGAACGACAGGGTGGCTGGTTACTGTTTATTCCGAAGAAGAAGGGAAGATAAAACTCCCTGAAAGAAGCATGGTCTTCCAATTCTCTCTATGAACTGGTGGTTTTCACTCCACTTCCAATGTTAACGACTTGGATAGTACTCATGTCATCTCATGTCTCAGACATGAGCACTGTATATACAAAAAAATGGATCCTTGGACTTTCTTTGGCGCTTGGACTTTGGCGCTGACCTCATACAATCCTAGGATCCCACATGAACGATCCCACGATCCCAGGCGAAAGCAAAGTCGGGTCTTCCTTGGATGCTGATTGCCTGATGAAACATGTCAGCATCAAAACAGTTTGTGCTTCCACATTTTTCCTGGTACCAATCAAACGCCCTTCAGTCGAAACCAAACACCTTCGTTGACGTTTTGGTTCTTCCGCCCAAGTCTCAATGGTCCAAATCGCTCTTAAACTCACTCTTATTCAACTCATCGATAAACTGCGTGGCGTATCCCAAGATCTTGAGCGCCGCTTCACTTCTTCGCATAAATCCTCGGTCGCTTCGCGCGCCCCAGTTTTGCGCTGCGCTGCTCGCCACCGGTGGCGAAACAGCGCCACCCATGTTTTTTGGGTTTCTCGCGCTGTCCCCCCGCGCAACCCGCAGTATCTATGCGGTTCTTTCCTTTCAGCACCTAAGCAAGACCGGAGCATTTGCCTCACTGAGAATTTGACACATGAATTCTTTGGGGGGGGGGCATTTCAGAGATCCCCTGGACTTGTTTGCTGGTCCCGTTACAGAAACAACAGACTCGGCACCGGCACCTCTGGCTTCGGGTGACCGGGCTTCTTCGGTAACACCTGGTCCCCGCGGATGGACACACCACCTCTAAGAAGCTCTTATTGGACACCCCTCAAGGGACCCTGGTATACACCGCCACGATCCGCCACGTAATTCTCTTGGATTGCTATGGTTCTATAGAGAACCTCATGAAGAATCATCAACGTCCGGTACACTCCTACACCTCAAGTGAGTATTCATACAAAATTATCTTGTCGTCCATGCCTTTCATACATTTCTTCTGTACCTGGACATCACCAAAACAACGACATCTGTGAAACTCACGTCGAAACAGCGACACCGGTCTGTCGCGAGCGTCGCGCCTCCTCTCCTCCCCGGCGCCTCCTCCCCTCGATGCGAGCGACGCTGGCACAGGTCGTGGAAGTTCTGGGCGTCGAGCATGGCGAGCTTCACGTCACTGACGGCGGCCAAGGTGCCCCGATGCTTCCTCGGGCCAGGACGGGTCGGGTGCTGCAGACCGTCAAAGACAGCCCACTTGGGATGGAGTTGAACTGGGGTGCTGCAGAAGTAAAAGAGTGGATGTGGACTGGACATGTTTCCTTGATGCGAGTCAGACACCCCAAGGGGCTCGGAAAGAACTCGATGTTGCCCCAAAGCACCACTTCTGATATCAAGGATCAAAATGGCCATTTTGAAACGACCATGTGTTTCTTGTTCTTTGGGGTAAGGATCTCAACACATGTCGCGGTGTGACGTACAGTGGCTGGAGAGCGCATCAGGCTGAGCAAACCCTGAAGAAGCAAACCCTGGAAAACAACATGACCCCGCAGGTCCAGAGAGAACCAGGTTTCTAAAATCTCACAAATTCCTGGTGTTCTTTGGATGTGCTGGGTGTTCATGGATGTCTACGCGGGAAGAAAGTGGTGCCCCTCTCATTGGGCACATCACAGAAACGATGCAGGAGAATCAGCAAAACCAGAAGCTGCCCTCTTCTTGATCTCACACAAAAATGCATCATGCTGCTTCTTCATTTCTCAATCCCAAAAGCCTCCCAAGCATCCTCATCCAAACAATATCTATTATAGCATATATATATAGTATAAACATAGTATATATATATTATATATATAATGTTTAATATAGTTGTTTACCATTGTTTACCTATACATGCATTCGGGTGGTTCGAGGGGTCAATGTGACTCCTGGAACCATCGGTGCAAGTACAGCGGGCTTCAGTAACCTCACCTCGGGTCCCAATTCAGATCTTGGGTTCCAGGGGTCTTTGGACGGTTCACCACGTGCCTCAAAAATCTCCGCGTCCTCTCTATTCCAAAAAGGCTTCGCGTTCCACTTCTAAGTGACCAAACTTCGTGATATTAAACCTCCCCATCTGAGGTTAGTTTTACACTCTAACAGTTAGGACCGGAGGGCGATCATGGCGAGATCCACGCGGTCGGTCGGTCGTCGACCGAGCAAAGAGCGGAAGACTTCGCTCCCACTGCGACCGGGGGCGACCGGTGCTTCCGGGCGTCCAATTGGTCCACAGGACCGCTTCCGCCAAATGGCGCCTCTCGCCCACGGCCGTCACCTATACGAGCACGGAGTGACGGCCGGTGAGAAGCCCAAGCCCCGAAAGCGAGACCTTGAGACCCACAACACGATGTGCTTCAGTCGAACAGGGGGTGAACTCCACGTCCTTGTGATGTGTTCGTGGGAGTGTAATTGGCAACAACAAACACCAAAAAAGCACCGGCGGCCATCTGGTCCCACCCATTGACACTCACAATGTATGTTAGAAACTATCACACACCCATAGCACTTGTTCCGCGTTCACACTCCGCGTTGTCTTCAGATTCGCTGTCCCTCACCTCGCCATAGGAGTCCGTGTACTCCAAGGTGCCAGAGACCACCTGGGATGGATATGGTGCGGCCAAGCAAACTTCGGTTGTGTAGGACATCCGTTCCCTCGAGAGGATCCTTGGAGGGGCAAGATTCAGCAGCTCGAGGTGTTCCAAATGGTAAGCTACAAGGTACTGCAAGCTGCTTCCATTCATGCTCCCAGCTCGATTTGAAGTCGTCCAAGCCTCCCTGAGGTCAGCGAAAAAACTTGGATTCTCGAGTGGTCTGTCTTGTCCTTAGGGTTTAACCTCCTCAGAAGCTATTTGGACCGTCCAAACTCAAAACTCATCCCAAACATCTTGTTACTTGCTGGTAGAAGGTACTTGGAGCCCTAGGGGTTGGGTTGCGCTGGCGCTGGCCTCCAAAGTACGGATGGGTTTGCGAACCCATCTCCACACGAAGAAAAGAACCATGTCACCCCATGTGGACCAGCTAATCCACCGAACCCACTTCAATATGAAATCATCTAGATATCTCCAGATCACTTCTGAACGGACGGTTTGTGACATTCCCAAGTCGTTGGACTCAAAACTACATGATATACTTTGATTCGATCCCGCATAATTACCACTCGTGGGCTGAAATATCAACCCTCGGAACAGGCCCCCGTGAAGAACATGTGGGTGAGCCCTTCCCCTTCTGTAAATTCATGTCTAAAAGGCGTATGTTGGCATCTGTCGCATGTCACGAAAAACACCCATGCCCGGTGCCCGGCGCCCGGAATTTAAACAAAAATATATACAAAAACCACTCGACCTGGACCTCGCATGTCACTACCCTCTTTGGGCTGCGCTCGCATGTCACCGCCGTGAAGGACCTGAAGCGGCTTGTCCACCCTCCGACCGCCAGGCCACGATGTACATCTTGGGCTCTGATGGCTCCTTTTGGGCGAAGCGATGGCTTTGGAACATGAAAACATGGTGATGTTCTCTTCCTCGTCACGTCGGTGACTTTTGATGTATACATTCTTTGTTGCACAAGACTTGTGACCACAAGTACCAAGCGGCAATACACTGGTCACCACCCTGCTTTTGTATTCTAATTAGCCTGAAGGATACCTGTAACTATACCTGTACTGTAGCGTCAGGTGCAGGACGGCCACGTATAACCCTCAAGGTGTGGGTGGCCAATACATATCAAATTCAGAGAAACAATAACGAAGTCCAATTCTCAGATTTATAGATAATACTTGATATATAACACAGACAGAAGCACTTTTTGAAAGGGCTCCCTAAGGTTGGTCAATGGTCTATCTGGGTCGAATTCACATCCCCTAGAGTGCATAGGTATATAACATATACAGTAGATATAGATACCCCAAAATCACCATGAGAAAACACCTCAGGTCAGGCTAAAATCTCTCCCCTAGTGATCCACATATCCTCTATCGGTGATTTGGGATCTGTACCGGTACTAGAGAAAACACCCAAACACAGCTGGTGGATGGGGCAAGGGGTCACGAGAAGGACAGTTCTTGTTTCGGGCTTCGCAGCGGCTGCACCAGCAAAGGCTCCTTTGCCTGCAGGTGCTTCTGTTTGTCCTTGAGATCTGGAAGCGACATATCCCAAAAATACCTCCCAAATGCTCCAAGTAGCTCAAGTCAGCCCTTCCCAGCCCTTCACCCCTAAGACTCACCTAAAATCATGTACAAACAATGAACCTGCCAGCAGTTCGCTTCATCCTGCTTCATCCAAGGAAGCGAGCAAAACGCACACTCCCTACCTGCCGGTCAAACTCAACGACCTGCCGTCCTCGCCCAGGTTGAAGATGATGTCCGTGCTGGAGAGCAACAACATCGACATCGCCCGGTGACAAATGGGGCGCATCAAGGGGGAGTTCTCCTGCAGAAGTTCCAGGAAGAAAGGGTGCCACATCCTCAGCCAGCTGCGCTCGTTGAGCACGAAACCAAATATGAAAGTGGAAAAGAGTTGCTGGAAAGATTACGGTATATTAGTATATGTTATGAAGTCGGGTTTTAGCCAACCATTGGAAATCATGATTTAATTATTTAGCAAAAATGTTGCAGATTTATTTAGAGAGGGGGGAAGCACCTGGGAATCTATAGTGCTTCACATTAGTGAAATAGATTAGGGTGGGGAAAGCAGTCTGAGACAAGTCCTGAGATATCCTGAGATGCCAGAGAGAGAGAGAGAGAGAGAGAGCGAGAGAGAGAGCAGGCAGACTCCGGTTGCGGTGTGCTTCGGGCTCATGGTTATGCCCGGTAATGCCATATAGCCTATCTGGGCCTATCTCCATTGTTCAACCCCTGTTTGTCGGGTCAACAAGTCACGGTTCAGTAAACTAGTCACTAGTCACTGGTCACACTCCGCTGCCAGCCTATTCCTCTTCTATTCTATTGTGTGAGGGTTTCAGAGTCGCTATTTTTTTTCTCTATTTTGGATGTCATGATATGGTAGTTTTTTGCTATTTTTCGAGGAAATAGCAAAAAAAACATAGCAAATCCATTAGCAGGTGGGAAATATTAGTGGAACACAATAGTGAGAGACATAAAGCAGGGCAGGGGAACTGCAAATAGTTAGAGCGGGAATAGTGAGAGAAAAAGAGCAGGGCAGGGAAACTGCAAATAGTTAGAGCGGGCCTATAAGCCCGCTCGCTGCTAGCTACTTACTAGCTAGGACCTAGGACCGAGGACTTACAGGGCCACCGAGAGACAGGAAGCTGGGATACATCAGGGCCATGCAAGCTGGGATACGGACACCTCTCTTTTTAGGTTTACTAAACTTTTGATGGTGCTATTTCTCTCTCTAATTATATAGGTTTACTAAACTTTTGATGGTGCTATTTCTCTCTCTAATTAGGTTTACTAAACTTTTGATGGTGCTGTTTCTCTCTCTAATTCACTTAGCAGTTATTTTGCTAAAGAAATCTTTTCATGTCTACCAGTGGTTCCCTGAGCACAGCTTCATAAAGTATATGCATCTAGATTCCCACTTCCATGTAAGATCATGAATTTATCCACTCAGTCGAAGAGTTTGCCAAGCCAAGCTTTGGGAACTCACATTGCCCCACAAATCAAGCTGCATGTTCATTCAACCAGTCGCACCATGGTGAAGAAATGAGCTGTTCCATCATATACTCTGCAGATCTGTGCCATACTCTGCCGATCTGTGCAAGTTAGGTGTTCATGATCTGATGGGTTTCTATCACCGGGAGCACAAAGCCTAGTCGTCTAGTCTCCGAAAGCTTAAACAGGATTTCCAGACCTCCAGGCTTCTACTTTGCCAGCACGGGAACAAGCTTTATCTGGAGCAAGGTGTGCAGCATATTGCCCCCCTCAAACATGTGTCACGCCGAGTATAGATTCTCCGGAAGACACATTATGAAAACATCCTGGTTGATTGGTGTCCTACAAATTGTTTAAATGCACGTGACCTGTTCATACATGAGAAAAACCTGGACTGGGATTTGGGTCAGATGCATTCAGGCGACTCAAAGAAGCAGGGACACCGATCCAAGACTTTAGACTCGACCCTTTCTGGCACATCAAGCTGCTCCATAGACATGAAAAGGATGTGGATATCAAACCCAGTTTCAAAAGATCCCCTTGTCACGCGACAGAGGAGGATCTTTCGCGGGGGGGACAGTATGAATAGACCCATGACCCAAGTGGCAGAACTTGAGAGTACATGTCCTCAGCAGTACGGGCCATGTCGGAGCCCCAACTCCGGCTACACGTTTCAAATCTCCGAAAGGTTGTGTCATGGGGATGTAAAGACAAACCAATGTGTACTACCTGTCATATTTTCTCAGGAAGTACGGGTAGATTGAATTCAAAGCACCGTATCTGAAAGGTCTTGCTTGGAGGTGTCCATATCTCCTGTATCATGATTATCTGGATGGTATTGCTGGGTGGAACATACCCACATGAACATTAATCATTAATGAATGATCCAATCTGTTGTCTCTAGTTGGCGAGCATGTGTGTGTGTGTGCGAGCATGAACACCTGAGGCTCCCACATGAAAATGAACCCCTATGGGGCAAGCCTATTGCCTCAAACATTCAAATGCACAACACTGCACAATAGATCACAATAGTAGATGGATGTAGATGGCACAATGAACATCAACCAATCAACGAATGAAGCCACAAAGGCTGTCTATCTACAGTGCCCTGAAGCCTATCTACCAAGTTGAACAGGTCGTTTCACTCACCCGGAGCCCCTTTTCACTCACCCGGAGCTCGGTGGACCTCCGACTCGTCGGCTGTCAACCAGGTCCCCCAGTTTAGACCCATTGCCATTGATACAATTGGCCCATCCGAGTGGTGGCGCAATAGGACCCTGCAGTCCAGACCCAGCCTAGTACTGTCAATGGGTTCGGGAACTCCCTTGGTCGCTCCAAGTACCAGCTCACCGATTGAAAGGAAAAGCTTGATATCTGAGGGTCCTTAGAAGGCTCAGCTACCTGTCTCGTTCTTGACCTTGGTGAGTACCATCATAAAGTATATATTCAAAAAAGTACATAAAAGTACTACGTACAGTATCTGATCTACGAGTATCTGACTGTGCCTCCTACCAGGCTCACTCTTTTCCATTTCACTCCTGAACACAAAGTCTTTCTCGGTTTGCCGATCCAATTTGGACTTCAACCAATTTGCCGCGTTTGCTCCAGTCGTTCCGGCCTTCGAGTTTGGCGTTCGCGCCCAGAACACCCCCAAACCACCCCACCGCCCCACCGCGCACCCCGGATCAGCCGTTCCAGCTCCCGAGCGGCGAAGGAGAGCTCCACCTTGAGCGGCTCCGAAATCACGTGCAGAAGCTCCACCTCGGCGGCCGTGGACGGGACTTGGCTGGTCCGTATCACCCCGCTGTGGAAGGGCTTGGAGGGGCGGACCATGGCAAGCGTCGTAAGGTGGGTGTGGACTGTGGGTGTTCCTTTTTGTTGGGGGGGGAATCGTTTTGGAGATGTAGGGGTGGTTGGGTTGGAAAGAAACGATCACTGTCTGAATTGTCTGGGTGTGTCAGTGTTGGTTGTTGTTGTGGTGGTGGTGGTGGTTTTTGTCACCACAGTATCCAAGGACCAGGGGATCGGAGGTGCTCAATTTTTTCCGCAGATTTGAAATGTAAGGACGTGTTGTTTCAGGTTGGCTGATACATACAGCATAGAGTACAACTGTAAATCAACTGCATCTCGCCGCCAAGACCAAGATGACCAAGGCGGGTGGAGCAAAAAACAATATTGGACGAATCGTTCAACCCCCACACCACAAAACCACATGGCCTCGCTGGTTTCACTGGTGCAATGGGTTTCACTGGGTTGCTGGTTCATCTTTCACATGTTGCTTCATTCTAGTTCTTGCAATCCCTACGATCACGCAAATTGCATGAACTACCATGAAGCACCATGTGCTGGACCTTCCAACTGTGCAACATGACTGCCGAACTTGAGCTGGTTTCATCGACGCATGGTCAGAAATTCTGCATAGAGCTGGAAGATCCACTTCTGTACAGAGCTGGAAGCTCCAAGTATTGACTATATCAAAGGTACAACCGAAGAGAACTGAATGAAGTGGGCTGGGATATATATATATATAATTACTGTACATATATATATATGTATACATATATACATATACCCCCACCCTGTGAACTCTTGGCTCAAATCCCCAAGACCTTTTTTTGGCCAGTCCCTACTGCTGGCATTGCACTCCGCTGTTTGGAAGCCAAAGTCTTGCAAAACCACGGTTTGGGCGGTGCAAACTAGGGATATCCAAGTCTCAAAGGCTACACACTCCAACTCCTTGGCATGGAAGTGGAAAAGCACTTGTTTGATCTTTTTCGTAGAAGAAAATGGTCATCCAAGGTGCCATCCACTCCCATGATAATTTCAGGGAGTGTAGCCCTCCCCTGTGTGGCTGAGGGAAGATTTCAAAAGACTTCAGAAAAGCCAAAAGTTGACAAGTGCAATGTGTTGAAACAGAATCACAGATCACTGACAGATCACTAATAACAATCATAACACCTTCTGTCACAGCAACTCAAAAAAACTGTCTGGATTCAACATGCTTCACCATCTGACTGTCACCAGGCCCCACCCTACTTCGTGCTTCGTGCCACAGACTCAGGTGTCAAATCCCCGCTGATGGCGTGCTTGGCGTTGCGGCACACGCGCTTGGTGGTCGCCTGACCCAGAAGTATTGGTTTCGTTGGGTCGTCCACTCGGTCGTTCCAAGAATGAAGGCCTTCAAGAGAAAGTTGAAAAATTGAACGACCTGGAGTGAAGAAAAACTGACAATTTGGAGTGAAGTATCGGTTTCGTTCCCTTCACCCTTCAAGAGAAAGTTGGTGTGAAGAAAATTGAAGTCATCCTCAAGTAGATCGAGTCATGACCAAGTGGCCCCGTTACTAGATTGATCTAAATTGTGTGTTCTTCAGCTCATGTCAAGATAAACCTAGATACGCTAGATACCATTCCTAGGAGACTTGTCCAATAGCATGGCCCCCAAGGACCAAACACGTGTTTTCATCAGGGAATCACCGACTTGGCTTTGTCTTGGACAGCTGACACTCGGAATCAACTGCAGGCCACCACCGACACTCCCCGAAATCATCATGGTTATGTGCAGGGCTTGGCCCCAATTTTGGATGACCCTGAAATCCCGAATACCAATCAAATCAGGTCGTGATGAACTCCACATCCAGTGATTCTTTTAGGGCGTGTAACCCTGGGAGTCCAGCGACGTGAAAAAGGTGCTCTGACAACTCGGTGACTTGAGGTGTCACGAAAGAAAGGAATTAACTACAGTACAAAAAACACCACCAAGGTTGGTGCCAACGATACTCGAACTAGACTTCTATACGGTAAACACACACACAAAAGAGCACAAGACACATCCGAAACCATCAAGCCCAAGACCCTAAACTCCCTACCTCCAACTCATGGAGCATCACCACCTCCCAGCATCACAACTGAGCCTTTGAGACGTTGTTCTGCTTCAAGTATCGCTTCAAGGTCGCCAGCTGCCTGCAAACGTGCAAAGCTGAGCACGGGTCAAACAAAAACTGCCAGGCGCCCGCCAGTTCGGCCCTTTTCATCGACGTACGAAGCATCTCTGCATATCTCATCACAGCCTCGCTGGCGCTGTCTGGTCGGCATGGCACCAGGCGAGACATGGCGAGACACATTTGTTGGGCGTCTGTCGGCAGAACTCTTCCGCGAAATGCCAAATTCATGGCCAGGACGGGTGTCTTCTGCCTTCTCCATCTGTTCAACTCAGGGTGTGGCCAGAAACTCTCGTTTTGAGACAGCGAACAGCAACAAACCGCTGAAATGGGTGCTGTGAGCTGTGCTTCCAGCCATCAGCTGCCCCTCCGGTTGCTGTCTGCAGGGTGATCACATCGGGATGCTGAACCACTGACCTTCCAGCTGACGGCCCCGGCTCTTTCCATTCCAGTTCTGAAGGGATCAAACGCCAGTCAGTGAGATCACCGACTGGAGGCACAGGTCAAAGCACCTTCTCTTTGGAGAAAAGCCAACCTCAGAGTCCTCAACACACGAATCCCAAGAACGCCTACATGGACCGAGTGCCAACTCTCCACCTCTTTGCTGGGCATACAAAATCCCTGCAACTGAGTAAGTGAAACAGTCTTCACACTTTGCACTGCTACCCCAACATAGACCATCTCCATGTCATTCAGCTCATTCCTTGTATTCTGTCTCCAGTGTCAGGCATGCTCCAAAGCATCGCCGCTCGCCATGGGCAGGATCGCCGCCACGCTACGGTCATCGTCCTCCCGAGTTCGGACGGCTTTGTAAGGAACTTGGGACACTAGCCCTCTTAGCTGACTGGTGACCGGTGCTTAGTAGAGATCCTCTAAGGGTCACTCAAGAGTCCAGTTGCATTCACCAGTCACTCGAGAGTCTAAAGTCAGGAACGCTGGTGAGTTTTGACATCTCCCGACTCTGCAGGCGGTCTGTCCTCACGCAGCAAGTGGCCCTCGTGAAGGATTTGAATGATCGCATCAGCCTGAAAAGGAAAAAAAGGGTGGTCTGGTGTTCTGTCCTCCTCCAGGTCCATCTGCCGAATCAAACACAGTTTTTTAGTTTTAAACGACGCCTGATCTGAATGTGAACCAACACCACTTCTTTTGGAGTAGAGCCAGGGATGACCACTGACCATCAGGTCGTTTCGAAAGAAGAGCTTCACTACCAGTCTTCAGCTGTGAAATATTGTGATTGGAGGGCCATCCGTTTCAAGCGACTCTCACAATGGGTGTGTTTTTGATTACCACATACATCCATTGAGCTAGGGAGGTCCCCCTATTTGAATACAAACCCACATGTTCATGCGTCAAACTTCGGTCCTCCAGCTCAAGTCTCAGGGCCAGCCCACTTTTCACCTGCGAGTGCGCCAAACAAAGGGCGGTTTCATATGCGGAAACATTCTAGGGGTCGTGCCTCGTCTATACATAAATAGAGAGAGAGAGTGTGTGGGAGAAAAAACACGTTCATGTCTACAAACCGTGCTTCCAAACCATCCGAAAACAATCTGGTTGACGCACCTCGGCCCATGTTGGAGGACGCTCAGGCTCCTCCAGTTCATAGCGCAAGGACTCCCCACTGGGACGTGTGAAAATCAGGGTTTCGCCCTCTATGGTGACGCTGAGCAGCAAGGCCAGTTTGGGTGCCTGCCCATGCGCCGCCCATCCAATCCACCCAACAAACCACCTGGTTTTGTGTAGAAAAGGCAGACAGGGCCCTGACCAATGAGGACTATGACTATTAGACAATAATGGTTTTTGTTGTCGATTAATTTGTGTTGACCATGTATGTTGTATGTTTCCATATGATTACCAATGATGACCATGTATGACGAGCAGGGATAATAGAGGTCCTTTTTTTGGTTGTGCAGTGTATGTTGTTTCTTTTCAAAACGCGACCCCTTTTGGATACATTTCCAATGGACCCAACCCTGTCTTGGAAAAGTCTGAGACCTCCTGGGCAAGTCCGAGTGTCTGACGGACAGAATGCTCCGTGTAGCTGCCCGACTGGTCTCCCTCAAAACCATTTGGGACTGAGATCCCGAAACCACTGCATATGAAGCGGATTCGAGTCTGGGTAGTCATTGTCATGTATCTTCGTATCTTCACTCATCTTTACTCTAGACCCCATGCGTAAATACCATCAACAATCAACTGAAAATAGTGAATGGCAACCACGATTGAACAAGTGATAGGAGACTGTTTTGACATGTTTTGACAAATTTGGGTAGCTCTTCTCTTCCACTTTTTGTGAGCGAAGAAAGGAACAAGTTCGGCTCACTTAAATCGATCAGAGTGGGATGACCCAGGTGGGACATGAACCCGACATCTGGCCACCCGTCGGTCGACATTCAAGGCGGTTTAGTCTCGCATTTGTTCTGCTGGTGTTATACCTCGCACCAGTAAAGCATTATACCATTTGCAAAACAGCTAAGCAATGGCAGCAATGGTGATACCCCCCAAAAGCAATTGGTTCAAGTCCGCTTGTGCTGCAACCATGGTTCTTGCTTGAACCATTTGGGAGTTGGGGTTCATGTAATGTGTGCTATTCACGCTAGCCGAACACTCCCAACGGCCCTTGGTCCCTCAAAATCTAAGGATTGGCTCGACCCCCAAAGATTCGGGTCAGGGTCGCATTTGTATAAACAACATCTCCAACCATATCCTGAAGAACGTAAATCGAAGAACACAAGCCCTTGGAAACATGGTATATTCCACACCCATCTTCTTAATTAGAAGCCAGAAGTCATGTCTTTTCCTCAGGAAAAACATATTAAACATATGCCACCTCACCCTCCCAAACATCAAGCAACACACGAACAAAAAAGAAAACATCGCCACCAGAGGACTGTTGGAGGGTGTTGGTATGAAATATGTATCCCAACGGCTCCCGGACACACTCAGCCACGGAAGTCACAGCATAGTAGGAAAATACTGTGTTCAAGTGTTCCCAATGGAAACGCGACGTCAGGAGGGCGGTCCCGGCATATAGTCCTTGCAAAAACCAGCTTCCCGCATGGATCAATCAATATCATAACCTCCGATCCATCTAGAATCCGGTCTCAGCTGGAGCCTCAGGGGGCGCTCCACCGCCATCTCACCATCCAGCGGGCCCGCAATGAGCATGCCACCGTGCACCGACCGCCAGGAAGCAAGACACTGTGAGCAAGTGGCAGCTACGCGCAGCTCATCTCATCCCGATGAACTGCACTTCCATATGAGTCCCAGATATCTAGATTGCTTCTTTTATCGAAAATGGTCCTCCAAAGAATGCTTTCAAAATCATCACACAAAGTCAGCTGGAAGACGTTTCAGGGGCGCACCACGTCACGCAATGCAGCAAGCCTTCCAAGGCTCATGGCTCATCGATCCGAGGTCAGGTAGGACATGGCAGGATGTTCATGGAAAAAACTGTGCATGTTTGTACCAGCACCCGACTCTACGTGGTTCGACATGTGAGTCCAAGTGGATGACATAGGTGTTCGACATGTGAGACATTGACATAGATGGTTGGCCGGTTGGTGGCCTCTCTTTGTGTATCCCAGACACACTCCATGATCCTGAAAAAGTCCGATGTGAGCCAGAACCTTCTCAGCATGCGTCTGGGATCCGAACCCATCCTCAGAAAATTTTCGGTCTGGACCTATATATATGTGTATATAATATCTAACTTATACATTAAAATGTTTCTTTGATGATGTTTGGGGGGTCAGCTCCGGCGCCACGCCAGGCAAAGCACCTCGACGATGCGAACGTAGGGATCACCACAGGCCAAGGCATACTTGAAGCCTTTCCTCGAATGTGTCAGTCCAACTGAGTTCAGTCAATCCGAAATGATACCAAAAACCCAGTTTCTCTGCCTTTATGACTCGGGTTTCAGGCACCCGAGTAGTCTTTCAATACAAACATCCAACTCTGTGGACGTTCCAACTCCGCAGACATTCTGTCTTTTCGTCCATGATTTTTCAAGTTCTGCAGACATGTTGCAGAAGGTATAGACTCCCCAAGAAATCAACTTCTTTCTCAACACTATTGAGAATTTGGGGATGATTGGATTCTGATCTAAGCAATTGGACATTTCCTTCCTACGCTGGATTTACCTTCCCAGAACGGGATACACATAAAATAGACCAAGAAAAGAACAGGACTGCTTCATCTCCACGCTTCCGATCGATAATTCCAGTCCCTGCATCGATCAGCCATAGCCCTTGGTGGCAATCCCGTGTGCAGTTGAAGGAACGCAGGGTCGTCCCATTGACTCCCACGTCGGTCAAAGAAGCTAAGTCATCCGGTGGCTGATTCGTGTAGACTTCAGCGTCAAGATGTCTCTGAGAGCCTGTCATGGGTGGAGTGGAGAAAATGGACCGGTGACTGGCAAACTGTTTGATCTGTATAACGCTTACAGAACGAGCTCGACAAACCCGCAACCACACTAACAGATCCCGAACGTCAGCGCCAAACATCCGCCCAGGGTGCTGGCTCCCGCCTTTTTCTTGCGAGAACTTCCGCAGATTGGTGTAAAGTCTTTGGCCACATAGTCCACATTCCAAATGGATGTAGCGCTCCATCCACAACGCGGCGGGTTTGGTCGTGTGTGTTTTGCTTGCTGAGAAGGTCATGGAAGCTGAGAACACGTGAAGTCAACAAACATTTGCAGGTTGCAGTAAGGTAGACTCCTGCTTGTTGCAAGTGACGTATCTGTGGGCATGGCTGCAGGACAAACATCAAATACACACAGGAAGATTGGAAAACACTTTTCCAGCCAGCATGTGTCCTCCCGGTTTCAAGGGAATGTGAGGATTAGATGAATACCCCGATGAGCTGATGAGCACCACCAGCAGAGTAAACGCATGACATGGCCAGCCTTGGCTAGCCTGGCCTTTTCTCAAGCGAATGAACAGATTCCACTGAACATGCGGATTGCCCTCTTGTTGCAAAGCAGAACGGGGAACAAAGACAAGACTAGGTACAGTAATTACTAGAAACACAAAGGACCTGAGACAACATACAGTATGGGTGGCCGTGGGGGATTGCTCTCCTGCCACCCCAGCCCCAGCCCTCACCCCCAGCCCTCTCTCGCGGCCTGGCGCCGGAACCGCCGATGATGTACTGCTGGGTCAAACCACTTGTGAAGACGCCCAGCATCACCAGCGCGATGACCTCGGTGAGAGATGGGTTGCTCCTAGTAGCGATGCCAGGAGCCCCTAGTAGAGTCCGTTTCAGATGCCTGGGAGAAATGTTGAACATCCCATGATCTCCAACTGCCTTAACCATGGAGTTGCCCATGATCGCCATAGGATCTCAAACATGTCTGTCATGTCTGCTTGATTTGTTCCTCCGGGGTTTGCGTCTGTGTGTGGAAGATGTCGGATGTCGGACGTCGAAAACTCCCGCGCTCGCTCTTTCCGTGCTCGTGCTCGGAGGTCCTTCGTTTGAAACGATGGGAGTCTCCGAGGATCGAAGAAAACCCTGAGAGTCCAGGAAAATGGCTCATGTTAGGCTCATGGTAGTGTTGGATGGATTGACTACCAGGCGGAGTAAAATGAGTCATTGGAAGTTCTGGGAAACCAGTGGAGACTTTGCATCCCTCACTGCCAGGTCTCCTCCAGGTTGGGTTCAAAAGGTTTGTTTCAGGGCACGAGACCTATTGGTGATTGGCAGTGAATGCTGGGGCTTGATCAGTGGTTTTCCTCTTAGTTTCTTAGTCAATGAGGTCATCATGAGTCAATTGACCTCAGTGGACACGCTGGTTCGCAGTGGTTCACCAACGGAGTCCCACGATTGGAAGATTGATGTGATCACCTAGACTCTAGACCTAGCTACTCTCCTTCCAAACAATCTCACTTATAAAGTGGATTCGTTTGGCCGGGAATACTATGAATGGATATGAATATGTAGTTGTGTACATGTTCGGGCGCTGCTCAGATTCCATGATGGTTTGAGGGAGGGTATGTAGATGTATGTAGTATATCGAGCAAGTTTAAAAGTTTGTAAGGTAGTAATAAGGTATTTATTCAACAAGCACTACTGTACTATGATCATGCAACGACAAAACAACCAACCACAGGAACAAGAGAAACTGCTCATCCTCCAACCTCACAGAGTGATAAGATGTCTTGGAGTCTTGTAGGTTGCTATAATTTGTGGGAACATCCAAGAGTTGGACACATCGGACATGGATATCTCTTCATATAGAACTCATTATATATAGAAACACACATATAGAAATACATCTTCAACTGCACCCAGGAGCAAATTTAGAAATCAATGAGCGTCTGCCAAAACGTACGGTCAAGCAAAGGACATGTTTCAGCCAGGTTATCGCTTTGAGGGGGGGCCCTGTCGATTTTGAGATTTACAGTACGTCCTGTCTCGAGTCAATTCGTCATGGCACGTATCTTTTGCTTTTGCGGTTGATCAAAATATAGACTGAGTCTATATCTCAATCACATCACTTTCCAGGAGGCTGCAGGCCATCTCCCCCCCTAGTAGGTTGGAAGCCAAGGAGTGTTTCCCACTTCTCCCCGCTGGTTTCACCCAGGGACGAAGATCGTGGTCTGCACCGCCACGGCAAAAAGCCGTTCCAAGGGCGACGCCGGCGAGATCTCCTGGGGCGATGCGGGAGATCAACAAGTCGCATGGGGTTGGAAGATTGACCCAAGGTCCAAGGGGTTTGATGGGTTTGATTGACCCAAGGGCCAAGGGGGTTGATGGGTTTGATGGCCAAGGGGTTTGAGTTGAGAGGGGAGTTTTGGTCGTCATTGTCATTGCAGAATGTTTGGGATACCTTGTGAGCAAAGTAGAACGTGTTGAGACGTACGGGCACGCGGGAGATCAACGAGCAAGCGATAGACATTGCAAGCAGCATTTCCAAGATGAGGTGCTTTCTGACTGACTCACCCTTTATGGTGCTGCAGGTCCAAGAGCCTTTATATAACCTTTATAGAAACTTCTTGGCCAACTGCCACTCTGGTGGAAGCTCTCAATCCCAGTTCTTACCAGCGGATCCCCGCATCGTGAGCGCACGGCGGGAGATGGGAGTCTGAGCCAATTCCGGGCTCCAAGCAACTAGTCCGTTTGGGTTCAGTGGTTGGGGTGGATGGTTTGTGGGGGCTGTCCCGGGACTCTTTTGGGAGGTGTTGAGCCCAGGGGCTGTCACCACCCCGCCCACTTGTCCATCTCCAGACCAGGCACATCCATACCGCCGCTGAACTGTGCAATTGCCCAGTGCAGGGACGCCTTCAGCGAGACAACCGGAGAATGAAGGTCTCGGAACCCTTGGGGAGCGGAAGCTGAAACATTCATGCATTGATGGGTACATTTGGGGGGCCTCATTGCCCTGGCCTTTCTTTTGTTTTGTTAAAGATGGTTTACTCTATGGAATGGAGCCTGAAGTTCCAGGTAACATCAATCTATTTTCTCAGGTAATTTATCTACAGTCCCTGGAACCATCATGGTGACGTGGTTGTTACATGGCCCGAGAGAGCAAATGACCGTTACATAGCCTTTGAGCCTTGGAGATCCCCCGTTTGCATCGCCCGAAGCGTGGGCTTTTCCACTTCCAGAACCTCACTCCACATCTCCAGGCGATCTCGTTCACCGAGTTCACCCAAGACCGACCCCTTCAGAGACCGGGCCAGGTATTGCGAGTCCACGGTGTCGTTGTTGTAGCCTCGGCCGTACGCAGCGGTCCGGTTAAACGTCCGGACTCCCGAGCTGGAACCGCCAGGTTCGTCATGTTTGGAGCAACCAAACCGAACCCCCCCGAAAACATCCCAAACAGGTCCAAGCTGGTGATCCACTTTTCCGGGGTAGGACCGTGTCTCCCCGGAATCGGCCACGGAATCAGGTCCGGTCCTTGAACCCATCCCTTGTTTAGGCGCGTTTCCGACGGATGGACGGTCAAGGCGGTTTTGGACACCTGTGCCTTTTGGACACTCCAAGACTGTTTTGAAGATGGCCTGATTTGAAGAGGAGTTTCTTTTACTTTAGTGGGGCAAACTTATCCAAGACCCTCCATGCGGCTGGAATGAATACATATATATATATAATATTTTATATATATATGCATTAATATATTGCCTACATTGACCCCAATCTACCACCCCTGGCCTTTTCTCGGGAGTCAGTCCTGCCAGTCCCAAACAGGTCGTGTCTGGGTTATTGGGCCAAGCCCTACTACACATCTCCCACACAACAGGATCTCATGGCAGGATAAAATGCATACTCAAACTGGATCGATGCGAAAAATGTCCCACTGGACTTCGACTTCAAAAAAAAGGGTGGGATGTATAGCCATTATAATATGTATATACATAGTATGTGTCCACTGGATTTGTCATGGAGTCTCTTGATTTTGTTGGTCCCTGCGAAGTGTCCAGGACATTGTTCTCTTTCGGTGATCGAGCACATCGCCGAGGCGCCCAGGCTCTTCACCCAGGTGTCCTCCGTGGTCTCGCGGGCGCCGATGGCGAACCAAAGGCAACCGGTGAAGTGGCTGATGGTCAACAGGATGATGAGCACCTTCCAGAAAGAGATGGGCCATATCTCGGTATAAACAAATATTAATATATATATATATATAATATCCATCCATGCATCCATCCATCCATCCATCAATCAAATCAATTCTATATTATATATATATTATAGTGTCATATGATGCGCAAGGTTGGGCATAGAGCTCCGGCTTGAGATTAATCTTGGAAGGATGAAAACCAAGTTCCACTCAAACGAAAGGGCTGTTCTTTTCACAAATTTGGTCACCAAGGTTTCAAGATTGGATCCCTGAACAACAAAACATAACAAAACCAATTTCCATCACAAACACATGTACATATTGAAATCAAATAACAGCTAGAGGAAATATCTGCCATCGACTTCTGATGGGGTTCTGGAAGAACCCAAACTGAACTTCACCCTTCGTCTTTAACTTCATGGCGCTGCAGGACTGTCGGACTATCATGGTTTTGTCTGATGAATGTCATCTTAGACCAGGTGTCCAAAAACAACTTTCGGGAGGGCACAAAAAGTATATAGATCCTGAGATCCAATGCATCTTACAGTACAGTATCCGCAGCTAAATAGATCAACAAAGAACTCTCTTCGGGCGCCTTACTCACTTGCAAGAGTGGTCCCAGCGTCTCTGATTGAATCCGTTCCTGAAACAAACCATGGCGGACGGAACGCCGACGGCTTTAACTGATGGGACTAGGTGTATTCTTGACAAACATGTCTCTTTTCCTGCCACTAGAAAAAATGGTTAGCATCTGTTCTCTAGATGTTTACAACTGATCATAGTTCACTGAGGCAATCAACACGTCATCTAACCGTTTATGTGCCAATATCGTTTTGGAGATGTTCCAATTAAAAGCATCCGCTACTTCGAGTGATCCCCAGCCGAGGAGGTACTTGGAAGAAAGAAGGAGATCCTTTTTGGCATGCTGACCAATGACCTGCCAAAAATTTGAGCTGCCACATGTACTGATGTGCACTGATGGATGTCCTTGAGTTTTCTTCTGTGACATGCGTTCTGACAGACTTGGGAAACCCGTGAAATACAGCACGACACAGTGAAGGAGAAGGAGGCGGGGGGAGGTGGAGGAGGCGGAGGCAGAGAACACTAACATAAAATCTCCATAGAGAGCCTCACCTGATAGCTGGGGACAAGAACAGAACTGTCGGAAGTACCGTTTAGAAGGAACCAAGGCCCAGCCCTCTCTGCAAGATTGTCGCACTAAAACGAAAGATTGAAACACACTGAAACAAATACAGTAATGACCTTTGTGGGTAAAAGAAGGGCATATGGTAAACAATCCTGAACCAAGACTTCGATAGACTTCGTTTGGTGATACAGGATGATACAAGTATCATTTGACAGAGCCCTGTGTCTGATTGCCCAGTGACAGTAAGCGGATACATACAATGTTTAAGCATCGGGCCAGGCCGAGATGTCCTACTTCCAAATGTCGCAATTGATCTATTCAACTGATTGTCATGGACACCTGCTGATTTTGGCTTGGCCGCAGATACAAGTCATCTCAGGTATCAACATCATATATGGGTTGTCTTAGAAGGACCCCCCTCTCAACCCCCCCCAGGAAAACTAATGTAATTATTTAAGATATCCCATATAAAATCATGTTAACATCAAGGACGCTACTAGGGGCTCCTGGCATCGCTGCTAGGAGCGATCGGACGCTACTAACATCAACCCTCGGCAGCCGGGGCTCGGTCACATTCGCCATGATCTCTTGCATCCGCACCAGCCGCAGCAAGCGGACGATGCGGACGATGCGCGTGGTGCGCGCGAAGCTGAGCATGGCCACGCCTGGTGTCGATGTTGAAAACGGAACATGTCAGCACATTGAGAAATGAAGGATGTTGTTATATACACTTTGTACTGTGTGGGCAGACCTTGTGTGCTGCACAATTTGGTATCCAAATCTTGGAGTGCTAAACTCTCGCCCCAGGAAGGTGTGGCAAACTCTTAGTGTTGCACGGCCAACACGGTCCGCATGTTGCAACCCCAATCCATGTGGACTGAACCAGCCCGAACCAGTTGCGCTTATGCCACCATATGCCACCATCGCTTCGGCCCCCCCCGGAGTGCTAAGCCTCCGGAAGAGAACACGACTTCGGACCAGTCCTAAGCTCAGGGCCAATATGGCGTAAGGCAAAAAAGTGGTCAGCAAGAGGAATTCACAATGAATTCACATATCTTCTGAGAAGGTTGGTTTAAGGTTTGGAGGGTTGCTTCATGTTCCTTTGCTACCTTCTAGACATGACGAAGGTATGTGGATCCATACAGCTCAACAGCAAGGGATCACATGAGCTCCTTGGAAATTTCTTGGGGATAACGAATAGCCAATAGCTCTTTTCCACATCAACGGTCTGCTGGGTTAGGGTTCCCATGCCGCAAATATGGATACATATTTCAGGATAATGGTGATTTTTGGCAGGAAGTTGAATCATCTTTCAGGAGAATGGTGAATTTTGGCAGGACATGTGAGGGTTCATTGCCATCTCCGTGGATTCTAGAAATCTTGCAAGGAACAATCTCCAAAGGGTCTGGTCCATGATTACTGATCGGCCGGAACGTGCGAGACCAATGATGGCGGTTCCTACGATCGGCTGCCGGCATCGCTCTCTGGGGCTAGGAAAGCTGATGGTTCTAAACTATACTATATATATATACTGTATATCTATTATATAAATATATAAATCATATATATATATATATCCTCCCCTCCAACATGGCCCATCACCTCCCACAAGTCGGTCATCTTAGCACCTCACCACCATGAATCTCTACCTCCAAGAGTCGGACAACACAATGATCAGGTCCATGGTAAGCCACGTCTTAGCGTAGCGCTTCAAGATGATCCTCGGTCGACCGAACCGGTGTGGACGGAGCCACGGTGGGTGTCGGAAGGCGGAGCGGTCTTTTTGGCGGCCGGCATCCACAACAGTAGCAAGAATCCCAACAGGTGCAAGTATCCACATGAAAGTCAGGATGTCTCAAACAGCAAGTCTGAATATATGGATGGAGAGTAGATGGCACATGATGGCACAAGTAGATGGCACAATCCCTAGAAGGTGGTCTGAACAGCATCTGGGGGGGCGCCATCGAAGCCCTGAAACCACTGTAAAACTCCCATAAACCATCTGTGGATGTCTTCTTGCAGGATGGTTGTACTTGGCACTTGCCACACCAAATGAGTGTGTATGTTAATGTTGATTTTCCATATTCCAGGGTCTTTGAGAGGTCTCCCTATTGCAACACGCACAAATATCATCAAAATTCATCAAATCACACTGTTGTTGATTGTTGCATCTTTTGCGGTTACGGCCAATGACATGGTCTGTATCCTTCTGCCGCTGTCGGTGGGTTGGCAAACCCCCTGTTTGAACTGGAGATGTCACAAATGGATGTGGGAAAACCACCTGGAAGGTCAAGCTAGATGTTGGACCCGGGCTCCAGGTTTTGACCCATCCCCAGAATACGGTCCAAATACCGTGCATCAAATGTTCAACTTGCATCATTCTCACGTTTTGACTGACACCCCTCCACAACGAGCACAGTTCTTGGTGTATTGCGGCAGCTTCGTCACTGTCACCGTCAACAATGTTCAGTGCATTCCTTGTGACTAACTCGGACATCTTTCTTCCAAGAATCTTAATGTCATACTCGACTGAACCATCAGCCATGACCACTCCAGTAAAGCAAGACCATAATATATCCTGAGCTGAAATCAAGCATAAACCAGGGGTGGGGGGGTTCAGATTCCATGTCTATTCTTTTGGAGTGTCCCATTGGCAGATTTCTTTCACAAGGGGAGGTATATTGGAAATCCTCAAGAGGTTAACTGTTCCACACCTTGAAAACAGATCAAAATTGAAAGCACATCATATCAAACCATCAACCACAAACATCACAAACGAAAACCCGTTTGGATGGCCAATCCCTTTCAAAACCCACGAAGACAAGCAGTAAGACAAGCAGTTGCAGAACATGTGATCTTCTTCATCCAATTTCTCTCCAAACACATGCAACCCAGGAACTTCATGTCTTAGGGGTCTTTCTGGGGTGGCATATTTTCTAGTCCCCTCGGCCGTGTCTGGGCTGCAACTCACACAGCCATGCGGGCCATGCCCACCCTTCGACGGCTTAGCCTCCGCGTCTACGCCGCTTTTGGTCCTACAGCCGTAGCCCCATTCATGGGATGATTAACGGCGATCGGTGTCCATTCACCACCCCTTGTGTCCTGCTTTCGATTTCATATTTCACCCCTGTTTACCTGATGTGTTCCAAAAACCAAACTGTAGCTCACACTGGCACGCTGGCCCCGCAGGAAGGGACCATGAACCATGGACCATTGGAAGCCCATCTTCCCCGAACCAGCGGAATAAGTTTTCACAGCTGACACTCCACATGGAACCGGCATCGAACAATGGACAATCAGTTGGGGTGATTTCAGGGATCAGTTCGATCGATCCCTGTGCCAGACAGGTCGTGTCTGGAAAATACGACCGACCTCGATCACAAACCTATCGACCGGTGTGGTGTTCTCTACGTCTCATGGTAAGATCATGAGGCCCAGCCAAGCTGTGAAAGTGAACGAACGCACAACATGCGGATGACATTCTCTACACAACGCACATCGTCTTGACATGTCTTGACTGATTTCTGGACCCAAACGGACCCCCATAACAGGACCCCTATCCGACTCCCTCAGTTTGGGAAAATAAAGCTTAACCGAACTGCCGATCTGTTCAGAACTAGTACATACCCAATCCTTCCACGAGGGTTTTGCAATCCACCTTTTGTGGGGCAGGCCTATTAGGGGAAGAACACCAAGCAAGCTCGAATGCATTCATTCCATCCGGCTGTGGGAATGCATGCACCTGGAAGGACAAATACACGGAGGACTAGGGCTCCAGGTTTTGACTCATCCCCAGAAAATGGTCCAAATACCTTGCTGCAACTGTTCAACGTGCATCATTCTCAAGTTCTTAACTAACACCCATTAAACAATGAGCATGTCTTGCGGCAGCTTCGGCATGTTCATCTGTCCCATCGAAGCTTGAAGCTCGTCCACCACGTCCACGTGCCCCGCGTTTTTTTCTCGGCGGTGCACTCTCCGTCCGAGACGGCGTAGGCGACCCAGCGAGGGCGGCAACGAGTCCCAGACGTCTCCGTCCATACATTTCCCCAACACCCTCAGCCGAAGTGACCAAGGTCCAGAAGAGCCTGGTGGTCCATTCCATGAAGTCCAAAAAAATGTTCTCCGGCAACGTGTAGGCCTGGTGCTTTGGTTTTGGCAGCACAGCCGTTGGAACGGTGGTGACTTGACTGCTGAACGGTGGTGGATCTTCAGTGCAGACGTGGTGAACAGGCCGAGTCGTTCGAAGGCCCTGACTGACACGGTCAGGACACGGTCAGCCGGTTTGCTGAGTCCAGTGACCGGCATCGGATGATGCGTGAAGTGACGAGTGCGTCGAGTACAACGAAACACGGAGAGGCAAAAGCCTGGCATGTTACATGCCCCCATATGCCACCCCACACCTTTTTTTGAGAGGCCAAACGTGGCATCAAAACTGTGGGAGCTGAGGATCGCCAGTGGCCCTAAATCTCCTGCAGACGATCTCTGCAGGACCCTGAGAAGAAAGAACCAGTCATTTCCGAAGACCAACCCAGTGGTTCTGGACTTCCATTGTGGTCCTCCAAAACAGTTCTCATTGGTTCTCCCCTCTATTCTGCCTGGTGCGACGATTTAGCAGATTCCTCGGATCCAGCCACCCTCATTAACTCACCAGCTCGGGACACCTCTCTTCCAACTCGCCAGGTCAAACGCGCGCCTGCATGGGGATCATCACCATGTCATACAGGACCATCCTCGCTAGTTCGAAAGGAACGGATCTGCGATCCCCAAACAGGAAAAACCATGAAAAACATCATTTCAGAACGTTCAGATCGAATGACCAGAGAGCGTCTCAGGAGGAGGGGGGGTGGTTTATAGAATTGTTCGTGTCATGTCCTGATGCGTAGCCCCAAAACGTCGGTCTGAGAGTGTCTGAGACCTGAAATATCTCAACCCTTCGACGCTTTTTTTCGTGGAAGCCTATGCTGTCGAGGTCGGCCCAGGTCACCAAGCTCTCGGTACATGAGTCGACCAGCTCCAAGCTCCAAGGCCTTTTGGTTCAGAAACACCAGACCAGACCCCATGAGATGCAGCTGCAAACAACAAATAATTGCCCATCATCTTGCATACATCTGAAGAAACACATTTGCCATCTGAAGAAACAGCAGGCCCAAGGTTGGTGTAGAGGCAAAGGTTGTTCAAACTTGACCTTCAATCAACAACCCGACCCGACCCAACCAATGACTCCCCCCTGCTATTCGGACCACACGGAACCCCAAAACCACGTTGGGTTGGTCTTCGGAACATCATCGAAGCCACAGGTCGATTCTCAGGGTGCTGCAGGGATCGTCTCAGGGTCCGAGGGTCACCACCCATCCAACCTTCCAGGGACCCCCCTGATTCAACAGCCAGCAAGCGCTACCGCAAGCCATACAGTAGCTGTCATATGCTGCATGGTCCACCTCTTAGGTTGACCATGAGTGACACACACGTACAACATCTTGAAGAATTCCATCAAGCTTGTACCTCTTAGGCTGTCTCAAACTTGCTCCATGATACCAATCTACACTGCATTTCCTTCCAAACATGCACCCCCCGACCAAACACACACCCAGCACCCCCAACCTCTTCCTTCCCCAGCTCGGGAAGCTCTTCCTCCCCCCATCCTCCCATCCCCAGTGGTCCGGGCCCAAGTGACACCAAACTTCCCAGGTCCCAGGAGATCCGGGCCTTGGGTCTTGGAAGGACGGATGGAAATCCAGTGTCAAAGGCTTCAGGCTTCAGTGACCGAAATGTGTCATGTTATCTTCTGAATCCTTAAGTCATTCACCTGACTATAGCTAGCTTAAGAACGTTGATTGATTTTGTGTCACGCTGGTGTAGCCGGTGTAGCCTTCTGTTAAAGATTTGGCCAAGCTGGACCGAACCGGGTGTTGAACCTTTCTCAGCAAACTAAGAAATTCACGTCTTCCCAACCAGGGGTCGTGTGTTTAACACCAAAACCTGACCATGTACGACCCCTGCTGTTTTGTGCGGAAACCAACAAAAATGAACCGATCCCGGGGCAAGCGAGCACAGCTGAGCACTCAACAAAAAAAGTTTATATAGGAAGGTGACTGAATGGTGACTGACTACCCTTGGTCAGGTCTTGGTGCTGCATTATGACAATAAATTCTTTCTGGAATGCAACCACAACATACATCAGGCGGGCACCATCCCTGTCCAACTCATTCACCGCAGGCGTTTACACTTTCGATACTTCAGGCTTCGCAAAAGACACAACCCGCTGGTATCGCTGTGGTTCAATACAGGGCTTCCCAACAGGATATATTATATGTGAATGATTGGACCAACCGAATTGTGAAATTGCAACACGGTCCCACAGTCTCATGAGATCTCCTGACAGGTCTGCCAAATCTGCAATGTTCCCGAAATCAACGTCGTGTTGGCGGGTGGCGTGTTGGGGCAAAGCACCTATGAAACCCTGGGAGTCAAAGACCACACAGAGAATGGTCTGACTAATAAAGGGGAATGTCCTTTACTTCACCAAAAAAAAAGTATCAGTTTTGGGACTTGTAGGGAAATCACTCACGCCCCCAAGATCTCCGCGAAACCAACCCCGTCCGATAGGCCACCATTTGTGGTGCGTGGGACGAACACATTGGGCGACTGTGAACGAAATCATCGAAATCATGTAGACATATTATGAAGACGGTTGATTGAGAATTCCCGATAATACCGTGGTTTCAGAGAATTTTTGCACAATCCCCAATGTCGGTGGTCTATATATAGACCCTCATCTAAAGGACATCTTCAGGTCTGCGCCTCATTATACGGTTTTTACATCTCCCACCCCAACCTGGAATCTGAGGCTGAAGTGTTCCAATGTGTTCGTCCCCACCGACGACCGCAAAAAAAAGAAACAAGGTGTCAAAAACCCCTCTTTTTCGGCTCCGCCCGGGAATCTTGCTCAGCAAAGGAACGTTGGAGTCGGGGTTTAAGATCCAGCCGTGCGCCACAGGTTCTTCGTATTCGTCCTGTGGGATGTGAGGGAGATAGGCAAAGCCCTAGGCCCTAAGAGGCCCTAGTACAATCTCCACACAATAGGATAACATGGCAGGTTTTGAACCAATGGTGGATCCGGTTCCCAGGTGTGAAGAACCTCGGACCATGTCCGTCCTCCTCTTCCCGGAAGGGCATGGAACTTTCCTTGGCTTGCCACGTGCTGCGGCAAAACGTAGGGTGGCCTTCCAAGAACGATTCCCTGTACTAGTAGAGTGAGTGTGAGGACAATTCAACACATAATCCACTCAAAACTACAGCAAGAACCCCCATCGGACTTTGACAAGGACGCTACTAGGGGCTCCTGGCCTTACTACTAGGAGCAAGGACGCTACTAGTAACAGGATATGACAGTTTTGTTCAGTTCTGCGATTCGGTGTTTGCCATCACTTCAACTCGATCGCCGACGACCATCGGGAGAGCCGGGAACATGATGAGGTGTGCCTCCAATCCGCTTCCATGATTCAGCCAGGTCGGTATAGGATCTACCCTGATCCACATACCTTCGAAGGAAGGTAGTTGGACAATGTTAGACGAAATCTGAAGAATGTGGATCCCTTTCGGCCCAGGCTCGGTTTCAGCCTGACTGCCTCTCTTCATCTTCTTAGCCTGCGCATTTGTTTCGCCTTTCTCAAGCTGCTTGGAAACACTCAACAATCGACATGTGAGTCAATGGAGATGTCACTCATTGGGTCTCCATACCTTCTGCATGGCAACGGGTAGCCTTCGGTTTGGAGCACATGGCAGCATGTAAGGACGCAAAACAGCTCCCTGTTGGTGACAAACCAACTCGGAGTCATTCCAGCAAGGACGCGGTACCAAGCCGCAGCTCAACGGATGCAAAACAGCTCCCAGTTCCACAGCAAGGTAAAAAGAAAAAATCTTAGGAACCAGGCCTGAGCATGTCGTGGATCATCGCTGCAACACTACTAGTTCGTCAATCCGCTCCATTGGGACAGTTTTCATCTGAACATGGGATTCTCAAAGAGGAACAGGACACAACTTGACACAACTGCAGAAAGAATTTAGGATTCCCTCCGTGCCCCCAAAGGCATCTTGGTTCGACATTCGCAGCCCTGTGCCTGTTTCTGAGAGGCTCGCCACAACTCCAAGAGCTCGAACTGTTCTTCACCTGCCTGTGCTTAATAGCCAAGAGGGAAAGTCTGGGGAACCATGATGACTCAATTTGGTCCTTTGAATAATAGCAAAGGACTCATGAATATCAATTCCACCTGAATTTGAATAATTCCACTACAGGTCAAAGGACTCCTTTTGTTGGAGTTGATCATACAGAAACACTCCTCAATGAGGCAAACGACAAGGTCTTACTGGATCTCACATGTCATCTTTCGTACGAGAACTTAGCTTCGTGCATGCAAGCAACCAGTACAAACATGTACAATAGTTTAAAATTGCATTCCCCCTCATGCCCCAAACCTACGCAAAACATCCCCAAACATGTATTCCAAATGTGCATCCATATGGCCGTGTATTCCAAACAAAAAATTGATACCTTAGACGCCGCACTTCGGCGCCTGGGCGCTTCCACTATCGGAATCGGAATCATCGTCCTGGATCGCTCGTTTCGGCCGCAATGCGTCTGAACCTGCCGTCTTCCCAAGGCCAGCTGATCTACAAAAATCAACATTGGCCACCCAAGTATGCGTTTCAAAACAAATATTGTGTTTTAGTTGTGTTCAACCCTGAAAAACCTAGGACGTTGTTATCTTATATGTTCAAAGACTGAACATGATTCCTTGTGTAGTTGCATTCAACGACAGCAAACATGGATTTCACCAACGTCACCCTTTGTCTCTCTCTCTCTCTCTTTCTCTTTTGCACAAGTCTGTAGTGTTTTCTTTAAAATAAGTTGTTAATCAAACATCTTGGCAATACTACTATGAAAGCCATTTTCCGCCTCCCCTCATCTAACAATTCTCTAAAAAATACCTCCCCCAGTTATTGCGTTCCTTGTGACGAACACGCATACACACCATGCAAATCCCTGTAATGATGCGTCGCAAGACCTCACGTTTGTAGCCGCCTCGAAGGGTCAAATTCGCAACTAAAGGGTTACACTGTGTAGTGTTTCTGTGTAAAACAACCGGTTTTCGACGCACTAAAGGAGAACCGCCGATCGCATTTGGTTTGCAAATAGTTGTGGGTCAAAACTCTCATGCAGTGCGCCCCGAAACACTTGCAAAGAAACCCAGAACAAATGAGGAATGACTGTTTCAACATCGGAAAGATCAGTGATACTCCACAAAGTGACTCCCAAAAAAACATTGATTCTAACATATTCTAACCGTAACTGCCAGTCTTTATCCAAGACGCTTAGGATTTTTAAGGACTAAGACTTTTGCCACCAAGCAGGCCTTCAATCGAACATTGCAAAATGAAGACTTGCCAATGTTGGCTTCACGTGACGTGGTTAAACACCACCAGACAAACGACGACAAAAAACAAGATATCAATGACAATGTCAATGATATCAACATTATTGTGGTCAAACAACACACGCTTGTTTCCCATGCCCACGCTCGGCCCCTTTGAGCCCGACGAAGGCCCATGACTAAACGATGACAATGTAGTGATATCGATGACAATGTTGTGATATCGACCATACCGGGTGGACTGACTTGCCTTCACCGCCAATTGATCCAGTCTTCTGATGATTTGTAGGTATCAAACTTGCAACCTCCAAGCATCCTTAGCTATAGGATCGGTGACCACCCACCACATCAAAAGAAAAACCTTGAACAAATCAGGCTTTCCATCAGGCATACTCTAGTACGCTTCGATACGCCGTTGTTCATTACGGCCGACTAAAAGCCCCCCAGGCTTGCCCAACTTGCTGTGACACTTCATGCCTCAAATCCTGGCCGATGCAACCGTCGTGCACAGAGTTGCCCTTCCCATCCTCAACCTGCAAGAAAGAATGTTCCCTCATGGCTGCTCGTTCTACACTGGCGCCACTGCCCACTATCCACCTTTGTCCTTTTTCCATCGCTTCACGTTGAGGGTGAAGCCTTGAGACTGGAACTCCTCCTTGAAATGCTGCCTGGCACTTTTCGATCTTGAAGCATCTCTCCAGCTGACCTGGGTATAGTGGAAGTAACACTTCCCACACTGCTTCTCTCCTCTCCAATTTGACACGTTCTTGCTTCTCCATGATCCCCATGCGTATACACAACTTAAGACACGCTTCGCACAGCTCCTTGTTTTTTCGATGCTTCTGGTTGGACAAGGAGAAGCAAATGTTCTGCTTCCAGTGCTGAATCTGCATGTCCTTGCTGAGCATACCAACAGGCATTCTGATCTCCATGTGCTGAGTGTCGATTGTGAGCTTTCAACAACCACCTTTAGCGAAGGATCGTCATGTCACGCTGGCCACTCACCCTCCTTAAGGACCCGTAGCTGCTCGGGTTCACACATTGCACGAAGACCGTCCATAATTCCTGAACTGACCTGGGCCAACCTGATTGTCGAAGTCAAAACAGACTGTTTGGTGAACCAAGGCGCACTTAATCCCGAGAACCTTTAAAAAGACTTCCCAATTAACAAAAAAACACGTCCGAAGCCCTAAACTCGGCTTATACCTAGACCCTCCCGAGGCAATAATTTTTGCCGTAGGCTGTTGAGGCAATAATTTCTGCCGTAACTCATTTTTTCTGCCGTAGCTCAATCCCTGGAAAGTGAAAATGCCGTCAGAGAAGTGAAAACGCCGTCACAAAAGAAGAATCGCCGTTTTGATTGATCTACCAAAGAGGATATTGTTTTGGTCCGTCCATACCCTGAAATTGCCTTCTCCTTTTTCACTTGTAAGTAGAGCTCATCGTTTTCAAGCCTCATGGTAGCACTTCTCAAGATGTTGCAGCCCTTGTCTAAGGTCTCGATTGACATCACGGCAGGATTTGTTCACATTTTGATCATGCAATGGCTGAAAGGATCGCTTGTGACATGTTGTGACAAGTCTTGCTGCCACCTTGAGTGACCCTATAGACAGGGTAAGGGAACGACGCCGTAAGTAGGGGGAAAACGCCGTAAGTACGGGGAAAAACGCCGTAAGTACGGGGAAAAACGCCGTAAGTACGGGTAAGAACGCCGTAACTTTAAACGCAAAATCTTCTGCAACGCCGCGCAAGAGGTCGAGCCCGCGAAAACCGACGAAAACCCAGCATGTGACACTTCCATCAGCTGCCCTTTCCACTTCACATGACTATGCGAGTTTGCTGATATAATAAGACGCCTTTTACGTTCAGTTGCCTGTCAAGCAAGACCCTACAATGTTTTCATACTCGCCTGCACTAAAACTAAAACGAAATGACTCTTTGAGGCGCATGGATGTGTGGACCAAAATTGCCGTCAACTGACCGAAGCTGCCGCAGTTCATCAAGAAACGCCGTCCCCATGAGATCAATATGGAAGAACGCCGCAGAACGGAAAAAGGCGACGTTTCATGAAAACGGCAATTATTATTGCCGTAACGAAGTTCCAGGTATTTGTTTTTAAATTACCACCCTTTCAAGCCGCTACTAAACTACCAACATGGTCGATTTTGGGGGTAGTTTCTTTTATTAGGTTCCAAAGCCATCCGTAACTGCCCACATCTGTCCGCCCTGTGTATCCACCATGACACGCCGCGTTTACAGCAGCAGGCCAGGTTTTCCTTCCTCCAATGGCACGGACTCACGCAAACGCACTTGCCACCGAGGTCGTGCAAAACCACATGGCACAGCGACATCACTGTTCGAAATCTTTCGAAAGCTTTGGTTGTTAGTCTAATGAAGAATCAGTATTCTAATAAAGGTTTTTGTAGGGGACAAGGAAGACCCTTCGATCTGGAGGTTTTTTAGAATTGTTGATGCGAGTTTAATAAAGGATTTTATATAATGTTATACAAGTTTTTCCTGGATGACTTTTTGGTTTTGAAGCTCTTCCCAGGTGACCCTATTTTGGACCCCCCCGATTGCAGGGACCCCCTATTAGAAAAAATGCGACCGAGTTTCTCTTATTAGGGGGGGGCCGTGATTCTTAATAGGTGGACAGGATTATTCTACATTATCCTGCTGATGGTGCGTTTCCAATCCACACTGACAAAACCATGGTGGCATTGCCCTCCTTGGTATGGCTGACCCATGGTGGTCTAAGACCAAGATAGCCCCTTGCCAAAGGGCCAAAGGGCTTTCCCGACCAGTCTGACGGAGCCCTTTCGCAAGAAGCATCTGGCCCTTTGACGCCTTCGACGTATGGCCCAGTGCCAAGTGGGTTCGCTCATAACTGTGGCGGCGGATCTCAAACAGCAGGAAAGGAGCCCACACAAAAGGCGACCAGCCGGCGCCCATGCACGGACAGGCAGCGGGGCACTGCCTGTGCTACACAGAGCCTTGCAAACCCAAAACACCCAAGCTCAAAAACACGGAGCTTAGCTCACGTCCACCGGTCCTCGCCCTTCTTGTGCGGCCGCTCGTCCGGCGTGCCGGGCAAAATCGCCGTCGGCTCCCCGGAGGGCTCCCGACGCTTCATCACCTGCGGGTGGAGCCGCCGCGGTGCGGCTCCGGGCCGGAGATGAAGGTGAGGCCAGAAATCGAATGAAGAATGACAAGAAATAATGAGATAAAAATAAGCGTGATTTCGCTGTATAAGTCTTCTCTAATCATCGATTGGACATCCATTTCTATCTCTTTGGGGACATGGTCTATACTTGGAGAACAACAGCTTGCCGCAACACTTACCTGGACCCACCTGAAGTGAAAAACTGTCTATACAACTTGATTAGCACATTTGAACACATTTCAGCACAAGCTAACTCATGTGTTGGTGTCCAAAGTTCCTTGGCTTCCATTCGGGCACAGCTGGTGCCCCCGCCTGCCGCGAGGACTTTTGCGACTGCCCGGACGCAGCAATCCTGAAAACGCGTCCAAGACAGCCCCTTTTGTGACCCAGCAAACCAAGGGGAATGACTTTGGCATATTTTTGTCCAATGGTTTGGGTCTTTAGTCTACACTTCGACTCACTAACATGGAGAAAAATCGTCTTCCCCGGGGTCCGTGTCCACTTCCATCTTAGTGAGGCGGAGAGTAGTTCTTTTGTTTCATCTTGCAAAGGGTCTTTGGGGTCTCAATCATAGTCAATCTACACCCACCCCAAGTGGATGAAGGATACAACTTACAACGACCAAAACACCACACAATCGACACAATTCCAGGGGCTTGCTTTTCAGTCCAAAAATGCCGGGCTCGATTGGCACAAGATACACTTGGCACATCTTGGCCCTTTGGCAACTGCCCGGTGTCGGGAAAACTGGCCATCCGAGTGCAAGAAGGCCAAGTCCAGTCTGACCCAGTCCAACCTGGTGTTACATTCAGTGAACCATCTGTTCGAATGAAAAATATCTCTCAGGTCCAGTATACCTGAGATCTGTAGAGATGAAGTCGTCATGCGTCTAACGACTCCAGTTGACTGATGGCTCCAACTCTGAAGCCGTCTTTGCGCGAAAGTTGGATTCAAAGTGGAGCCTTGCATGCTTGGAGCTCCAGACCATAGTTTTCACCAAGTCTTGACATAAATCCTCGAGAACTCTGCACCTGGAGCAAAGTCGGTTCATGTCGTTTCCCAAACAAAACGCGGATATTTTCCACTAGCACCTCTTCAACTGACCTTCCCACTCCCTCCTGCTTCCAGAGCTTCCCAACTCTCCCGCTGCGCAGAATCAAAAGACCTACTCCAGCAAAGCCGTGGACACCAAAAAGAGAACACTCTGGGGGTTCCCATAAATCCACACCACCAAGGCCATAACGGGTGGCCTGGTGCAAAAACGCCTCCCAGCGGCTCTCCCTGTGGCAGGGGCTTCCAGGGTTCCGCCTGTTGCATGCTGGAGCTCAAGGGCACCCAGGCCATGAAGGCTTGCCAGCTGCCCTGCGGCTGGTTCTTACCTCGAGGTCAGGGGGGCAAACAAGTTGGAAGGTTTCTGCCCATTTTTCACAGGCAAGGGCAAGGGCATGTGAAGGAAAACATCGATATGGACTTTAAGCAATTCGCTGCTTCTTTATCGACTTGTTGCACCATGCAATGCTATAGGGAGTCACCAATGGTCAAATCTACCTTGCTTCGTTTACGAGTCACAAGTCGCCCTTGACCTCCTATTCGTGTCGGTTTTGGTTGCTCTTGACCTCAGCCCTCCCATCACTCCTCAAATCTTTGTGGCACTAGGACCCAAACAAAAATGAAGAGCCGACCCAGTCGACCGAAAAGGGGTGTCACCGAGAAGTTGGATAAACAGTCATAAACATATTATTACTATTACTATAATTGTTATATTTTTTATAACATAATATACTATATATATATATGCATATCTTGACATATTCTATTTTAGCGAAACGTGTGCTCCTTGCCGACTTTCTGACAGGCCTGCACTTTGGGTCTAAAATAGTCTAAACTATGTCTAAACACGTCTAAACTAATGCATGATTCTTGATACATGGGTGAACCAACAAATTGGTGGATTTAAGTGATTAACCCAATCAATCTCACCTCAGGGGTCAAACAAGAAACCACCACCTGGAACTCCTATAGCCGGGACCTCCGTCTTCTGCCTTCCAAGCTACCTCCCTTCCTCACCGTCCCGCGTCCTCCCCCAGCGCCGCCATGTCCAGCCGGTGGAGGTAGAGCCGAGGGGTCGGGAATGGCGTTCTTCTTGGCGTCCTTTCTCGGCGTCTTCCGGTGAGGAAATGGTCCAAGTGAGTGCGGAGTAAAACAGGGAGACCTCTCAGGCAACGACCCCCCCCGGAAGAAGGACACATGGCGCAAAACCCAGCCTGGCTGGGTGTCTTCCTATCAAAATTGGGGTGAGGACATGAGGCGCTATGAGTCGGTTGCCAGGTCTTGATCGACACAAAATGGACCCACCAGGTCTTGGTCAAGTGTGGGAGGCCAGGTTCCGAAAGAAACATAGGGAAGAAACAACACCAAAAGCATAGTCACAACCACATTGGAAAGTCAACTCAACAAACAAGTTCCCAACCCAAAGGATTGTTCTTTGATGCTCTCTGGAGGAACATGGAGGAACTAGCATGAACTAGGCACACTGTGCACACTGACCCGGCCAAAGTGAACAAGCACTCCCAACTTGTGAGGCTTCTCTCCGAAGACGAGTTCGGTTGCTACAGTCTCAACATCCCCAGGTGGACAAATGATTAACAAAGAGGTAACGTGAATGCCCAAAATCACATGTTCTAAACCAGCTTATTCCCAGTGACCGCTTGGCTTGCTTTAGGGTCTGCAAGTTCAAGTGCCCATCTCTTCGACCTCAAACTGAGCTTGAGCAAGGCTTACTTTGAAGTACCAGGAAAACACATGCCACATGTGGAGCCCCACGTGCTACGCGAAATGAACCACAAACACTCCAAGACCAACCATCCATAAGTGTGAAACCGTAGCAAAAACTGATCGAACACCGAGATTCGGATTGATTGGCGGCCAAGTCCCTCCACGATCCCCTCATCTCCCCTCAAAAAACCTCTCCCGGTCCTTGTCATCCTCATCATCCCGAAAGGCATGGGCTCGATTTCCCCGTCCAGCCTGTCGAGGGTCGCACGTCGGACCGGTGCGGGCGAACCGGCCGGAGGTGGGCGGGTTGGACGGAGGTGGGGCCAGTGCGATGACTCGACCAAGCGCATTGGAGCCGAACGAACTATATAGTTCTTGGTAATATACCTGTATATGTAGTTATTGGAACTCTATATATGTCTACTTATTTTAAGATGTTATAAGTATATACCTATTGGTACAATTTGGGTACTTTCCATCTAAGGGAGTGTCAAAGATCTGGTCTACGAGTCTACTGGACCTGGTCATATGGAAACATGATTCACTAAAGTCAAGGACCAGGTGTTGCGGGGACAGACTGGACTTGCAGGGTCTGACTTTGCTAGTTCACTACTGTCAATGGAAGAACTACCACACAAATTGGCCATACAAGCTCTTGAAACGTCTCTCCGAACAAGCTTCCTTCTCAGAATGTGTTTGGGAAGTGGGAGGATTTGGAGGGTCCATCCATATATTCTGTGAACGTCATTGGTTCCATACCTTTCGGACTTAAACAACTACATAGACTAGAATCCTTCCTGACCACTTGGAATTGGGTTGAACAACATTGATTTACTCTGAATATAAAGTTTCCTACCCCAAGGACTTTAAACATTAATAATTAGTCACAATTAATATGTTCATGATGCGTCCTTATATTGTCCTCCACCACTCTGTGTTTATGAAAGTAGTTCGTACTGTAACAACGGTCTTGGACGCCTGGCTTGGAAGTCTGGCTTCTGCACTTTTGTCCACCTTCTTCGAGAGATTTCAAGGACCTTCTTCCAGGCTCAGCAAAGCAGGTCAATTCCCGACAGGGTCACAAACCCAAATCCGAAGCACACACCAGTGAAAGAGGTCTCAGCCAGTGACGAAACGGACGTTCGATCTGATGACAGGTCCCTGGACCTGTGGCGGTATGCCCAAGCTCGGTCGAAAAACCAGAGGAGTGGTTGCAAGGGAGATCAAACTCGATCCATGGAACACTGAGGTCCTCACTTCAGTCTAAGTCTCTTGATTTTACTCAGCCCCTATCGAAAAGTTCGTTCACGGCTCACGCCTTCTTCTTGGGCTCAGGCACGATGTTCTGGAACATCATCGACTGCACGTGCTCTGTGGACTTCAAACCCAACTTCTCGCGCAGCAACATGTTCTCGGCCATCAAATTTGCCACCTGGAGCAGCTCTAGAATCTCGAGGCAGCAAAGAGTGTCCAGTCAAGACCCGTGAGCCGAGTGACAAACCCGGTGAGATGGAGCCCTCGTCAGCAGGGTCCTATAATGAAAATATGGGTGCCGGGGCTGCCGGGGCCCAAGATCATGCAAAGAATGAAGAATGTCTGGCCAAAGATTTCTAAATGGGGCCAACCTGTATAGTTGAAGAACAGTTTGGCCAACATCCAATCCAATGCCAAAAGGATCCAAAAGGCCCATACAATGCCAGCTGCATACGACATCATACGATGAAGACTCAACTTCACCAATCGGGGCAGTCGGGTGCCTGACACCACGTGACGAACGAAAGTCCCCCGGCCTCAAAGTCGTGGGACTGCTGGATCTCTTCCAAGCTGTCCAAGTGTTGCATCAAGACCTCGGGTGGTTGAAAGGCACGACGACTGACCGGCGGATTCTTGGGTCGATGCATCCAAAATGCAATTGGTGAAACGCATTCCCAAAGAAAAGTAGAACAAAAAACTGCTTTGTTTGGAGTGTGGGACTTCCCCGCGCTTGCGCGAGCGTCCCGCTCGACGCTTCGCCTCCTCGGCTTGTGCCCGGAAGTCAGCGACGCACTTGGCCAGGCCTCGCCAGCCGCTTGGTGGAAAAGGCTCGATCGGGGACTGGGGACTGAAGATGGCTCCAAGATGCTCCAAGTCGAGCCTTGTCCGGACCGAAAACAAAGAAGGGGTGTGAACAAAGGGGATCCACTAAGTAGTGTGATTAGGGTAGGAGGGTGTAGGAGTATAGTTTATTGGGGACTCCGAAAGGAAGGTGCTGATTCAGTCACTTCGACTCTTGAACCAACGAAGGGAAGACAAAAAAAGAACCTCATAGACCAACCTGAAACAATCCAATGCAAATGATTCATTTGGCGTGTGTCCTTTTACCCTAGCTGCAGTCATGCGACAGTTTCATACAGGATTTGTCTATACATGGTAGTGGATCATCTGGAATAAGCTACATAAGTTATATAAGTGCCTCTGCTACCAACAAAAGCTGCCGTGATGAAGGCTATGAATCAATCTATGAACGATCCGCAACACCTGCCAGACCATTGATGTTGGGGGAAAAATAGGAGAGAACACCTGCGTTGCAGAAGTAATTACAACATCGTACAACACATTGTTCAGTATATACAGGCTGTCTGAAGTGTAACAACACAAACACCAGTAGTTGAACCGGGTCAGTAGTTGAAAACCTCAACAACACCTTGCTCCAAATGATGCCTTGCCCCAGAAGCCGCACGCGCGCCGGGCACGCACTGCGCTCTAGCCGCTCTAGCCACTGGCCTGTTTCCAGTTGCTCCACTTGCTCCTGGAGTCCAACTCCATGTGTCCCATGAGTTTCAATGGCACGGGGCTCCCAAAAGGTCTTGCACAGATGGGGCGTCCCACAAAAAGCACCAAACTCGTATAGGGCAACCTGTGCCATCAAAAAAGACTCTCAATCCAGTATAACTCAATCCTCATGGTGCCATGCAATGGACATGAACGACCCGTCGCCCACCCCAGCTCCACGTCACGTACCCGCGTCTCCCGTCCGATGGGTCCAATACACTGGGTGAAGCGTCAAACGGTTTTTTCGTTCGCGCCAAGTTGGGAGGTTAGCTTCTGTCTGCCCAACTTGGCGAAGCCTGAAGTACAGGTCGATTGCGCATAGCATTTGACAAAGCAACATGAGCTCCAAGAGAAGAGATTGTTGGATGATTTAGCTGTCTTTGGTAGACATGACATGAGCTGTTGTCTCTTCGACGTCGGTCTTTTGATCATCTGCTTTGATGACTTCTGTCCATGTCCATGTCCATGTCGTCATGTCGGGACGTCCGACATCTGTCGCAAGCTTCATCGGACGGTCTCTCTATAAGCCAGCCAAATAGACGATCTAATGCTACAGTAGAAACATGTAGAAACATATCCCAAACACGACCTGTCTAAGACAGGAATATATGGTTGAAAAGGGATCTGCGATACATGGAGTGTATGGGAATGCTGCATTTTGATGCATTTTGTTGAAATTTTAATGATATTTCATGATGACGATGTGTTTCATTGAAGCTTGAGGGCTAAGACCCTGAATGAAGCTGGAGATCGAGAAT